GAAAAAGGCAGATGAAATACTGGTTGATCACTAGAAAAATTGTCCCATCAAATGAGGGAGGGATTTGATGAGAGATGAAAGCCAAGATTCTATAAAGGAATCAAAGCAATTATCATGAGAAATAGTTGTACTTACAAATATTTATTATTACTATTTCTTTACTATCTAAGAAGACCTTACACTCCCTCATATTTTTTGTTAAAGAATTAACTAAGCTGAAGTATTTGACCAAAAAAGAAAAGCAATTTCACAAAGGAGCTGTAAGATGATACTTTAACTGACTATAGGTTTGTGTGAATGAGTTTGAAAAAATCACCAGATGGTGCTCCTACCAGTTCATGAAACCTGTTTAGTAAAGTGATAATAGCTGTTACAGGATGACAGTTTTTAAACTAACTGAATACAAGGTAAAGTTAGTAAATAAAGGCAGTAATTAAATAGGACTCACATTGATAACACATTAAAGTAATATTGAGAGCAACCCAAGCACATGAAATAATATATCTGAAAATACCATGAAGTTCCAGATTTGTAACTAGAATAATATACTGATACCAACTTTATTAAAGACTGCTGCTATGTTAGCATTTTGTGAGTAAAAGAAAATCTATTGAATATGCTAAGAAATAAAAAATGTTTAAAGCCTATTTTTTAATCATTATAAATGCAACTTCATATGTGGCTTTCAAGAAAAGGAAGCATTTCAACATTCTTTCTATAGGCAGGGTGTAAGGCTGTGTTAATCTTGGGCTAAGAAGATACCACAGGAATGACTTACCCCAAAATTCGCTTTTGGAGAAAGAGCTGAACATAAAACATCTCTTACATTAGGGCTGCCTCATTCTTTCTTTTCAGCTTTGGTAATTTAGAATAATTTTGTAACTTCAAGAAGATAATTTAATTTCTATTAATACAGAAACAAAATATGGTTTAGAAAAAGAAAGAGACACCAGCCAGTTAGGAAAACAGGACTTGGTCAGGAGAACTTTGTATTAAGCCCTTTTAAAGCTGCTAGTTTGCTGTGTGGTCTTTGGAAAGTTATTTTTTTCCCAAAATAATTTCCTGTCTATGATGCAAGAAAGTAAGGACAGTGATTACTTGCTTTTGTAATGTATTTTGAGGTCCTCAAACAAAATTCTATCTAAATGCAAAATATTTCTATTACCATAGACTAAAGACATATGATAGAACATAATTACAAAGAAGAAAGATCCAAGTCAGCGAAGCATTTCAGCATACATAGGACTCCAACTGGGTATTTCTATTTTTGTTGAATTAGGATCACCATCTCCTACTGCAAATTAAACTCAGTGTTCTTGCACAATTCTTCTTTCTTGAAACTATAGTGCAGTGCCTGTCAGGTGATTCAAATGATGGTATCACTTAGATTTTATATATGGATATGAGATCAACATAAATGATGTAGTTTGCTGGACCTAAATTTGAGGAGAAATGCAAGAGCTTCATCTAAAATGAGGAGCCTCAAAATTTCAGTTCAAACCACTTATTCAGTCCCATGGACTTATAAGAGCTTGTCTTCAGCACTGAAACTTTTCAAATGTTCAAAGGTTTTCTTTTGATAAAAAGCACCTTTTCTTGTAATGATGAGTGACCCAACTACACTGGCCTATTTAGGGGTTATCCCATTCCACCAAATGAGATTATGTCTCTTGGTAACAGAATAGTTAAAAACAAAAAGTCAAAAAGAGCAGGCAACAGTGCCCATGACTCTATACCCCAGTGGTTAAGACTCTTCGAGGGAATTGTGAGGTCCGAACCCTGCACCAAGAACTCTTTCTCTATATTAATATCTAAAATATATAGCTCCTGTATTAGTTGTACTTCATCCACCTCCCTTCCAATGCACATCTGACACTTGCAAAATGCCCTGTGAGGAGGAAGTGTGAGTAATCTAGTCACTGAGGCTCTGGTCTGGCCTTATTGCTGCCAGCTGTGAAGTAAAAGAGAGAATGACCTTAAAGACCTTTTATGAAGAAAGGATACATCAACTACAACAGGAAGAGAGTTGTATCTCTGAATTCTGAATATGTGGAGTACATGGTAAAATGCCTAAGGCCCAGAGGGAAGGTATGTAAGACTTTTTTTTTTTTTCCCCAAATATTTCATTATTAGAGGACTACTGAGAGCCTACATGCATAGAACAAAACCAAATTCTGCTGCTATTCCATTTGTTAGTTTTTATTTATTTCTATACAACATTCCTTGTGATTTCATTGTGATGATTAGAGACCATAGTAATGGATTAATTCAGTTGGAATTATGGTATTATTTGTGTTTTACTACAATCTTTTCTTCTGTTGAATAATCAATTTTCCCTTAAAAGCAAAATATTGCCAGCAGCAATTACGATAAGGCACTGCCTGCCTAGGTAGACAGGAAGATAAAGTTGGTATTTTAAGTCCGCAGGCATATTTTAAAGAAAGAAAGGAAAAAAAAAAAAAAAGCAAGGGTCACAGACTTTCATTTGAGATTGCAATGTCATGCTGTCATTCTAAAAATTAAATTTCTTAATTTTGATAACTTTCAAAACCTGCAGGCATCAAATTTTGCCATCATGTAATATTAAGTTTTTCCACCAGATGTCTCCAATATATTATTTTACACAGAAAGTTACATTTGAGTTACTACACTTCAAATTGAACGCAAGTTTAGCAAAATATTAAAGAAATAAAGAGAAGCAAGCTGAAACTAAGTATTTATCTGTTCAGACACGGATTAGGACTGTCCCTAAATTGGTGTCAGTTCCACAGTGTTACCTACAAAAAAAAAAAAAAAAAAAAAAAAAAAAGAGGCCATGACTTTCACTTTTAAGAGGCACATAAGATCGTGTCTTGATACCTACATTTTCAGAGCAATATAAGGTTATAATTGGCATGAATGAGTTTTGGGTAACTAAGAAATATTTTGTTTGTTTGTTTTTTAAAATCAGAAAGGGTTCACAGACCCAAACTAAAACCAACTCTGTTTTCAGAATTCTCTCTGAGGTAAGCATGCAGTAATCCAGTTATTTATTAATAGCCTTTGTGGATTACTCCCACTCACTACCTTGAAATGTTCACCCAGATTCTGTCAGCCCGAGTCAGTACATAAGCAATCTCAGTACACATAAACGCAGTGCCAGCAGAGAATTTCCAGGAAAAAAGGGAAAATTCAGCATTGCTAATTCTCAGACCTGCATATCGCTGAGTTAGGCTTCAAAGGCATCTTTATAAGAGAACTCCTAGAGAAGCCTTCTCATTCCTCTGTGTTTCGAAGTGGCACTCGGTGTATCTGATAGACACAACAGAGTGGAAATTTTGCCCTGTTATCACTTATATATATGAGAAACTGTATATACGTGCACACCTATATTTAACTCAAGAAGCCCACTCATTTATTCAAAGTAGATTATACCTAAACACGAAAGACTCAAAAGTCTCTACAGGATCAAGGATAGAAGGCACATATTATTTACTAGGGAGCTGAGGATACTACTCTGGAAGCAAGGTGGGGTGGATCGTTGGCTTACAAAACCCACAAATCTATCCTTTCAGGGTTCTCAACATATTTTACACAGGTTTATTAGACTTTGAATTTCGCCGAAATATAGGGGAATGTACCTCTATTCACAGCAGACAGGATGGGTCAGATAGAAGTCAATTACAACCCATCTTCTCAAAACTGGCTTTGGAAAGTATCTTTTTGACACTTCTATTTAGCCACAGGAGTTCTATTTTAAAAATAATCAAGCTGTAGTCTCAGATAACTTTAAGATGATACAGGTGCTCCACAGCACAGGTAACATTCAATTTTGTATATCAAAACTTTCAACTGAAAGAACAAAAAAGCATACTGATGACAAGCCATGTACTGAGATCTTCAGCCACTTGAGTAATATAGCACGGCATCTCTGTCTCTTATTTATATGAAAGAAATCTTTGAATAAGTTATGTGTTCTATAGTAGCAGAAACATAGAAATTTCAAGTGCTAATCTCTAAGGCCAATGCTAAAGTATAACTGTTGTGTGGGCTCATGACAAAAATACCTTTTTTAAAACAGGTGAAAGAAATTTCTTTCCGTATTTCTGTTTAACTACCTTTGAAAAAATTAAGGCCATATACTCAATCCACAGTATGGAAACAGATGCCTTAAATTTGTACAACCCAACAACTCTTCCACAATAACGCAATATGGATTTAAGCTTTCCTTTTCAAAATTAACTACTAAACAAATATACATCAATAAATTAAATTGTTCTAGCAATACTTCCAGAAATAGTTTGCTTATCTATAATTTTAGAGTCCAAAGCAAAAATAGCTGGATGTTAAGAAGCTTACTATCCATGAACTCCGAACTGAGGTGAAGCCATGTAACAACACTGTGCAAGCATGCAGTGTACAGATATGGCAGGGTGTGGGTTGGGTTTTTTTTTTTTTTTTTTGAGGGGGAGCAGGAAGAGGAGCATCACACTGCATTTTCTGAAGTAACATAATGTGATACATAACCTGCTATCATAAAGAGTGCTATGATAAAAATGTAGAGTACCTATAAGCATTTACAAAGATGCTTGGACTGCATCTGTCCAGAGAGTAAGAGACTACTTTTCCTCTCAGTTATATAATTTGTCAAACACAGCAGAGTTTATAAATATTTATTAATAGGAAAACACCTAGGATATTTTAACTTTCTTTACATTTCTTTAGCATGCAAAATCAACTCACATTAACTTCTTATGAATAGCCAGGCCACCATAAAAGGGGCATACGAGTTCTACATGGTTCACTACGTGGTAACAATGCACATAAAGTGTTTTTATTAGACAATCCCTCTATAGAGAAGAAAACCCAGTATATCCAAAGTAAGATCTGTTAATTCAAAAGACGTTGTACAGGGCAGTGCACAAGAAGAATGATTTCTAGTACCTTTGAAAAGGCCATCTTCAGTTTTTATTGCAGTTTGCTTTCATTTGTGTCTCTTAATTTGAAGAGCTGTACAGTACCTGTCCAGTATATGCAAAGTCCAGGGCTTGTTTTAAACCGAGGCTTGTGACGCCATGCAAATTCACCTCATCAGCTTCGCTTTCAACCATGCAGAGACTGAACATTGCCTACGGAAAGAAAAGAAATGTTATTAACCATTAAAAACAACCCTCAGTGAAGGTCCAGGAAGAAAAGGATTGATTTTTCTACCTTCACTAACCTTTGTTTTTCCTTGGATAAGAATTCTAAATAGCAACAGACTTGTGAGTTAGTATGAAATCTATACCAAGTTTTCAATACTAACCCCATAGCAATCATTCTTGCAACTGAGTCCTTTTATCAGTAAAGAAATACGAAAACTTATTCTGGAAAAACTGAAACAAATCCTTTTTGTCCATGTATATATACTTCCTAATTAAGTAATTCAGGTGCAATCAATGGAAACAGTCAGACAATAAGGTATCATTCAATAAAAAAAAAAAGATAAAGAACCAGACTCCAGAAAAAAAAATTCTGCACAAGCACCACTATAAATAATACTTATGTATAGTATCGTTATATACAGGAAGGAACAATAAGCCATATACAGTTACGTGTACGTGAAGAAGGGGCAGTTAACACACCATCTTTTATACACAATCCTTTCAAAATAAGCACCTCAGACTGGAATGTGAACAGCGTTATTACTCAAGTCATTCAATGAGGAGCAGAGATGGAGATGCAGTCACCTAAGCTTACAACCTCCCCTTACTTGTTATTGGCCCCAGTTTCTCAGATCATAAAACCTAAACTGAAGATTGGCAAGTGCTATGGAACTTCCCTGAAAATAACATTGAGGAGAGCAACTGCCCCTTTCATCCAGTCTGACTTTCCAGATCATCAGTCTTCAGTGCCTCCCTGGACTGAAGCAACCCTACTCAGACTTTGGATCCTTGTAGGAATCTTTTTCTTCCCACCCCTGTTAAACTTAAGACTCCTGTCTTTGCCCCTCACTCTTCCCTCCCAGACTGCATTCCCTCTGCAGTATCCCTACTTACCACTCCTTCCCTCCTATCATCAGTCCCATTCTCCAGTCCAGTAATTTTCCAGAAAAGCAACCTTTATCTTTGTCACTCTCCCACACATTTTTAACAAAATATACTACTCACAGTCTTTAGACAGTAAACTGCGAATAAACAAACTGAACAGTTCTGCCATCTGTCATTGCTAAAGAGAGTCTAAACTTATCCCCAGTAGGTTTTGCGCCAAACTGTTAATGCCTCTATGAAGGCTACCAAACCCCACCTTGGAGAACTCCAGCAAAGGAGCACTTCTTATGAATATACCACCTGCTACTTCTGTCTCTACTCTGGCTGATACCTGCGGAAGTTAAAGGAGTCAACAAGAACTCTGGTTTTCATATGTGCAATCTGTCCACCAAGCACTGCTGAGTTTAGAAGAAAAAATAAGCCCTACCCCCTCTAACAGTTTAGCACATAGTGTTCACCTAGACTCAGGTGGCTTCTTTCAAGAACTATTTCCTGCAAATAAGTAATTTCTTCTGAAAGTGTTAGCATTTTCATCATTAAAACAGCATAATTTGACATAAATCTGTTGCCTGGAAATCATCCAGTATAAGCAAGAGTGACATTTATCACATGACCACTCCTTGTATTTTTGCAATTTCTATTTCAATGAAGTGATATCAGGGCTTCTGCTAAACTGGCAACAGAAAAGAAGTGTCAAGAAGTTTAAAAGGTTTATCAGACAAATGTAGTAAGACACAGCCATAAAATACACCTAGACAGAAAAAAAAAAAATTCTAACAAGTTCAGACACTTTTCTAATTCCATTAAAAATGTATTCAAGAGTTGGACAATTCACTGTCATTTAGATGTATCAAATTAGCTCTAATAGCTATTGTGAGGCTTCAGGGCTTGCCAGGAGTTGCAAGGTACCCATCAGCCACCTGCTCCTTGCAAAAGCAGACCTGCAGTTTGTCTGGAAAAGACAAGCTTCTCTTCTCAGAAATTCACTTCTAAATAAACTTTTTGGACAACATCCCCTTCCCCACCTCAATTCCTGAATAAAGAGAATGAAGTATCAAAGCCTGTCTACATAGCTCTACAAAATACCTGTCTACATAGCTCTTACATGGGTGGATTTGCACACATTCTGTACACTCATTTCTGTCACAGAGTGCCTGCAGAATGGCTGGAAAAGCTCAGCGATACAAAATCCTGCATGCTCTGCATTCTCTGACTGTGCTACAGCCAACTATCTGTACACTACCTACCTGTACATAGGAACCACAAAAAAAAAAAACAAAAAAAACCAGCGTGGCTACTAATAAAGTTTCTATTCTGATCAAAGGCTGGATGTCCCACACAATGCGTTAAGCTTACAGCTACAAAGCTTAACGCTTTACTTAACTGAATCTCATCTGTAGACCATGAATCACTTCTGTGAAGAACTGGGAGAGTTCTTCTTTGGAGACTTACTAAATTTACCTTTAGGAGACTATTCTATTGTATCACAGAGATTCCAACATTGTCCTTACACAGAGTTTATTACTACACCTACTCAGCAGGATCAGGCCACTACCTCAGTCACTGTCCGTAATCTTCCACAGCGTTTAATGAGCACAGCCTCCAGCACAGTTTTGACTGCCTGCCAATTAGCACTCTCCCAGGCAATGCCCAGACTATTGTTCAGGGGGTAACTCAAGCCATGGCTGTTCCAAATAGACAGCACAGATAAAGCCAACCTGTTTGCAGTGGGGAGAAGGTTTAGCCATATGGACACAAGTCATGCTGTGCCAGTTGCTTTTAGGGCCAGAAAACAAGCCCTTATGCACCTTATTTACTAGTACAGGCATAGGCTAATAGTGCAATGGGCTATCAGAACTGTAGCTGCCAGTAAGCCACAGGACTATGGCTTTGCATGCCGTCTGCTACATGGAGTTCATCCTCTGAGTATTCTGTGGAAGTTTTTGATACCGAGTATGAACTACATCTGTTTTTCAGGGGGCAAGGCCAAAGAATGTAATTGAAAGATAAGGTCTGCAATGGTCCTCAGACAGTTCCCATTCAGCTCAACTGGATTAGCCTCCAGGAAAGTCATCTCCCACACAGATGAACCTAGTACTGCTCAGTGATCCACACTGCCTTCACCAGCAGGCAAATTTCCTTCTCAGCCTGATAAGTTTTAATCCAGCATGAAAAAAAAATCTGTTCAATCATAGACAGAAATTGAGCTCAAACTCAGTCTTTAATTTGCACTGCTGTACTTGAATATTATAGTTTTAACTGTAGAAACATATGGACCATTAAATTCTGGGTTGAGACTTCACCAATACCTGGAGAATGAGTTACAGTTGGGCTGTCAAACTCCAATTTCAGATGGATCTCTGAAAACGCTCTGAGGTTTTGTAAGCTTAAATAGATCTACCAGTTATGCTTTTAATGCAAGGCTAGTAGCCTACTTTATCTTTCCCTGGGGAACATTAAAAACAAGGCAATAAGATAAACATCTCAGGTGGATGTACAAGTGACAGACGAGAAAAAATAAAATACAAAATATTTGGACAAGTGCACAATTCAAAATCAAACTTACCAGAAAAGTCACCAAATTTGGCTAAGCACAAAGTGTTAATTATTTTAAGTTAATTTCCTTCAACTATACTAGTATTTCAAATATATATTTTAAAATACTTCAGCTTGGACAAAATAAAATCTTCTTTGAAAATGCCTCATTTCTCCTCCAAGACCTTCATGAGAGTGGGCAATAAAAGTTGCCAATGTGTTAAACAAAGATCCCTTTTATAATAAAACGCACTGCTGAGAGGACCCATCTTTTCTTCCACTTCCTTTAAATATCCAGGTCTTGTTCTGCCATCCAATCAGTCAATGAGCCAAAATTGTGGGAAATATAGTGATTGTTTAAATTCTGCTGTTTTAAGTCAAGGTTTTAATTCAGTAAACCAACTCCCCCCCAGAAAAGTAAACCCAATCCACTTGCCATTCTATTACAACTGTTCCAAAATTCAGGGATCAACATTCTGTCACAAATGAATATATTCCATTTGTGGAATTCCACCTGAGCTTACACTTAAGAAGCTACAAATTAGGATGGCCTCACGTTTGTGGTGCAGGTAGAGACTTGATTAGCTGTAAAAAGAGGAGGAAGGGAGGAATCAACCCTCCATCATTCTTCTAATTTTGGCCTGAAAGAGAGCTAGAGAACTATTCCCAAAGGAAAAAGAGAACAAAGCACATAATCCTTGTATAAAAAAAAATACCTAGAAACTTGAGAGAAAAGGAGAAGAAATTGTCATCAGGGCCTGTAATAACAGTATCTAAAGTTAGGTAGCTGTATAATAGAAGTAAATTAAAGTGGGGTTTGGGTAATCAAGAGATAGAAATAGGCATGTTTAGACAGCAATTTACAGAACTTAATGGGATGAAATTTATTTTCTATTCTGTAACTGTAGAGGAAGCCTAAACACTTAGCTTAGCCTAGATGCCTAAAATAGATGAAAACATTAATCCTAAGAATAATGGGTTGAGTGAACTGAACTGAAGAACAAAAGCTGAAGAGGTAAGAGGTGTGACTGAGGTCTGATCAGGTGGACGATCTGCTCAGCTTGGTGGCAGAGCTACAAGAGGAAGTAGAAAGGTTAAGGAGCATCAGGGAGTCAGAGAGACCAATGGAACCATGCTCTGCCCTCCCTGAGACAGAAACAGGAACAGCCACCAGAAAAAAAGACCTAAGATCAAGGGGATCCTGTATCCTCCCCCCGCCAGGCTGAAGGCAGTAGCTTAAAGGAAAGGAGTGAATGGAGGCAACTCTATGCTCAGGGGGTGGCAGGTGAATCCCCTCTTCCTTGCCCACCTCACCTTCCCAGGTGCCTCTGTACAACAGGTATGAGGCTCTGGATGTGGAATACGAGTCAACAGACAATGTGGATGACAGTCCACCTACACCAGAGGTGTCGCCAAGGTCAGAAAGGCGACATGAACCTCATGATACTGGTATCATGACCACCTCCATGAGGAAGAAAAAAGACAGGTTATAGTTGTAGGTGACTCCCTTCTGAGGGGAACAGAGGGTCCAATATGCCAGACAGATGCTCCTCTTAGGAAATTCT